TACGACATCGGGGATAGAGAACTCTTGGCCATTAAACCAGCTTTAGAGGAATGGCGGTACCTACTTGAAGGGGCACTCCATCCAGTCCTTGTATACAGCGACCACAAGAACCTGGAATACTTACGCTCAGCAAAACGGCTTAGGCCCAGACGGGCCCTCTTTTTCTCTTGCTTCACACTGCACATCACATATCGCCCTGGATCAAAAAATGGCAAACCGGACGCTCTTTACAGGATGTACCCCGCGTCCGAAAATCTGAACCCCATAGATCCTGTGCTTCAAGCCCACAGTTTTCTTTTGATGACTGATGACTTCCTATCCAAACTCAGGATAGCTTCTTCACCTGAACTCTTGCCTCCCGGTGTTGAGCTATAAGAACAAGACGGGTTATACCTACGTGATCATTCCGTGTTCGTACCTCCACAGTTAAGGCTTTAAGTGTTGCGATTGTGTCACGACAACCTGTTGGCCAGACACTTCGGCATCTCCAAAACACTGGACTTGATCCACAGATCTTTCTGGTGGCCTACCCTCAGGAGAAACTGCCACTCCTATGTCGCCTCTTGCAAAATCTGTTCACGCAGTAAGTCGGAAAAGAAGAGGCATTGGGGTTTGCTACAGCCACTACCTGTTCCGTCCAGACCCTGGGAGATGCTCAGTATGGATTTTATCATGGAACTTCCTCCTTCTGATGGCTATTCATCGATCTTCGTAGTAGCCGACCGCTTAACCAAGATGGCTCACTTCTTACCCATGGTTGGCACTCCATCTGCCCCGGAGACTGCAAAAACTTTCATTCGAGAGATTGTCCGCCTTCATGGCGTTCCTGACAATATTGTATCAGATCGAGGGGTTCAATTTATGTCCAGATTCTGGAGGGAATTATGCACAAAAACACGGACAAAACACATAGCACCGCGTCTACAGATCCGCACCTGATCAAGACCTGAAACTCATGTGAACAGGCCCTTAGACCTTTGTCATTTATTTAAAACTAAAACACTGCAGCTGTCAAAAGACTGTGCAACTCATTTACAAACAGTTTGTTCTGCAATTCTTATTACATTGACTACCTTTGCGTCTCATTTCACTGAATCCCAACAGGTGTGTGTCGCTTACCAACCCAACTCAGCATTCCAGCATCTCTCGGTAGTTCAATAGCCAATCACTAACAATGGTAGCTCTAGGTGCACTGCACCTTGTGTCCAGTCTGGGGGGAAAATTGACAGGAAAGTAGACGTGCCTTGATTACAGACATGTCAACAATGTGGTTGACTGTGCCAAATTAATGCTTAGATGTCCTGCTTTTTTTTTTATTGTCTAGCACTTTTATTGGTCTTCTGGCACCTATGTCTCATGTCTAGTTGTAATGAACAACTATGGCTAAATGTGTCAGGCAAAGAAAGTGTTACCAATAGGAAAGGTATTGCAACTCATATACAGTGGCCACTATACTGCTAAGTGTAGAGCAAAGCAATATATAAGGCACTTATGTTTTCACTTTCAAAGGCAGAAGGAATAAATACAAAACATTTTCTGCAAGGAAAATACTAAAACAAGCACTTTAGCACAGTAATTGCTTCATCTGTTGAAAGCTCTGCAGCAATAGAAAGTGCAATGTTCATGTGTGAATAAATATCACCTATATTTCATAGTAACACCAGCTCTTCCTTAGTGTACATATACATTTCTATTTAAGGTTAACAGACCCAAAAGAGTGAAAATTTTACTTTTAAAGTTAATGGAAGCAACCCCTGCATCACATGCTCTTTTATTCATACTCGCACAACTAATTTAATCTGATTGCAGGTTTAGACAAAATATAATTTTGTGTGAAATGCATGTTTTCTTTGAAGCCTTTTGAGTATTTTTTTTTAACTCTGTTGATACTGGAGAAACACTGACAGAATAGGAAACCATTTGCTAACCCATTTTTTTTGTAAATCAATTACCTTGTTGAACAGAAATTTATAAGCAAGTTGTTACTGTTGACATCTAGTGCAGAGGAATATTTTGCAAGCCTAAAATTATATGATTTTGCAGTTGACAAAAAAAAATGTTCAATGCTGTGATAAATAGGTAGAGCTTGGGTTTTCGATCAAACCATAATGATTGTAACAAAGCCAGAAAAGTGGTGGCAGTCATATATTACACAATTTTGTTGTACAAGTGTAATGTCGGTAAAAAACAACATGTTGTGGTGGAAAACTATCAGGAGCAAGATTAGCATCTGAGACATGTTCAGCGGTTATTTGTGTAATGAGCAGTATTCAGATTTTTACCATAACTGATTAAAGATCTGTCAGCGTGTAGCCAACTTTATAAGCAATTTAATGATATTCCCCCTTTTCTGCAATATAAGACTATTGTGTCACAGACAACTTTTACATGGCACTCTTTTACAAGGTCTTAGAGAAAACAGTCATCACTACAAGTTGATGGAGATTGTATTGTGCTTTCTTTGCAAGAGTGTCCTTCAGACATTTAAAGCTGAATTCCTGGAAAGCATCTAAATACAAAGATGAAATATATATGCACGAACTGTAGAACTGCATTCAGTGTCTATTCAGTACTGTACAGCAAGGAGCGTGACGCTGAATTATCTGTAGCAGCTAAAGTGACACGTAACTCAGGAGTGAAATCTTAAAAATACATTCAAGTACCTACCCTTACTATTAACAAAAATGTAGCTTATTTGTGTATCCTCAAATCATCTCTGAATTGGTGCTGACACAGTCCTTCCTTCTGTAGGATGGTTATTTTTGTTCCCCATGGTCCCTGTGTGTGTTGTAAAGTAGTCACCACTCCAAGCTCTCTCCTGTGATGGACTACAATCTCACATTTAGTTTACTAATTTGTATTGAGATTATAGTCCATCACAGGAGTGAGTTTGGAGCGGTGGCTACTTTACAACACACACAAGGACTATGGGGATCAAAAGTAGTCACCCTCCAGAAGGAAGGACAGTGTCAGCATGAATTCAGAGATGATTTGAGGATCTACAGCTGAGTGATACACAATTAAGATACATTTTTGTTAACAGTTAAGGTCCTTGAATGCATTTTTAAGATTTAACTCCTGAGTTTAGGGTCACTTTAATGAGTAGTATGTTAGTACTGCCCCTTCCCTCCTCCCAGTCTGAGTGCTTTTATGTAGGGGTTTTCTCCAGGCTGATACCAGGTCAAATTCAAATACTAAAACTAGTTATTTGCATGAATACATTTCATCATTCATCAGTGAATGCATAACTGTGTTTATTTGTGTCTATTATATCTGCCTGGAGTTCAGCTTTAAAATATATCAAGAGCATCTTTTAATTGTTTATTTCACAGCACGTAAGCCTGAGTGAAATGGGAATAATATCCAGCATACAGCGATTTACATAGGAAAAAAAAGGGTTACCTGTGCTAAGACAGTTCTACTGTGCACACTGTTTTTAGATGAATCGTGCAAAAAGCATTAGGTAAAAGCACAATATATCAAATATTTCAACTAAATATACAGCGCTAATAGCTCAATTATTGAATGTTGAAAAAACTAAATAAAGGTGTATAAACACAAACTGTTTTTTAACATGCAACTGTGTCACTATAGTGCAATCAATGCTGGTATCTTATTAATCCAACAACAAGTGACATGTATAACACAATGTTATTAAGTTATTCTTTTTAGTGTCAATATCCTCTAAAAATAAAAAAACTGAAAACAAAGTGTCAATCCATTGTGCTATCATATTTCAAAACAATATACATTTATTTATATCCTTCACATTAATTCTAATGTGTGATATATCACTGTGCAATAAACATATATGTGAGCAAGAATGTCTCTGTGATAATTTGGCTCCGCATCAATATAGGTAGTCGAGCCTCCCAGTGTTCGGTGGTTTAAATAGTGCTTTTTTTGGGTTTGTATTGTTACCAACACATCCCCCTTTCAAAGTGCGTACTCACCGCAATCTTTTGGCTGTAACAGACAGCCACAAACGTTTTGTCTGATGGGACACGCTAATGCGGCGTCTTTATTGACACGCACTATACCATCAGTCTTCGAAGTGCAGAATGTTCATCCAATCATGCAAAGAAAAAAGTCCTTCTTCGTGTAATATTTTCCAGGAGTAGTTTATTAGAGAAATGATAAAATTCAGTAACAATAAAACACATCCGGCCGGTCCGAAAGCTATCGAATTTGGTATGGTAGACCTGCCCCTACGCGTTTCGTCATCCACGACATCCTCAGGGGAGCATGCATAGCCATGATGTTGATTAGTTCTCATTAAGTGCACAATATAAGCGTGGTGCCCAAAGTAACTTTAATGTACCCGTTAGATTAAAATTGTCTGCTGTCTACATAATAATTACATATATAGAATTAACTTACAATGTATTAATGCTTGATGTTTTATACAGTTAATATGTTCAGTATTTGAATTTAAGTGGGGTATTTGCTCTTTAGTCTTTTTAGACAGATGACTATGTGAGGAGACTGAAATAGAACTTCACATCACTGAAATAATGTTCCAGATTCTTCTATAAAAATAACAAATGGCTAGCTAAAAATGCTTATATTGTGTTAAATGAAAAGTGCTATGCAATAAAATGTAACCTATTATGTTATTATAATATGCATCAATGATGATATTATGTAATAATGGACTATAAAAATGACCCATTTTGCTTTGTGCAGTTATCATAAATTGTTCATCAAATAGCCAGCGTAGTCAGTTCTGCTCTTCCGGCTTAGTTCTCCCGAAAGGCTGAAAATCACCTTTCAAAGTTCAACTGTAGCTAGGAAAATGGTTAGTGAAAATTTAATATTAATGTCAACAAGAAATAAATCAGCAGTTTTTTTTTTTCTGTCTTGGCACTGTCCTTCAACTTCAATATGTTGCAACATGCTTTATTAAAGGTGTTATTTATTCTTGGGAGATGCAATCAGCACACACATACCCATGTCTCCTTACTGAGGTCATATAAGGTAACTGATAACATGGCAATTACCTGCACAAGTTCCATTCTGTTCAAAGAATCCTGGACCACAGCTGGCTACACAACGCCCCTGATGTTTCACATCCAGTAGCTCCTTGCATTTTACACAGTCACTTTCTGAAGCCCCATGGCACTCTGAGCAGGTTTCATGACATGCTAAAACAAAACAGGCAATTATGATTATACTATGAGTATATAATTATAGTTACTATATATATTATATATATAGATATATATCTATATATATATAGATATATATCTATATATATATATATATACCATATATCATCACCATTCATATCATAACATTATTTCAAAGCATGTTGAAGAGGATCCTGAAATAGATGGTGAGCTTCAATTACAGCAGGCCAAAGCCTAAGGACCAACTAAGTAAAGCCATCTTTACTCTATGTAGTGCCCTTGTAAAACTTTAAACTTCTTTCTTTCTTTCTCAATTAGATATGTAATCGTATACAAAAATGATACTCCTTTGTTGTTTGTAAAAAAGATGCCAATATCCGCTTCTGTGTTTTGGGCAATGTGTGCAGTTGTAGAAGGGCTAAATGTGCTTTCAGATTCCAGAAAAGGAAATGCATGCCATACAGTTTGTTCTTGGGTAGTGTCCTCCTTTACAAAGACATTTTCTAATACTACAACTGATGTCTTATGAACATACCTGTGTCCTTACATGGAAGTGTGGAAGACAGTGAGTGTTAGTGTACAGTTTGGAAATAAAATAGTTCGGGTAGTTATACTAAATGCTCAACAACATGAGCACTTTGGTGATAGAGTTTCAACTCAATAGAACACAGCTGTATTACTCTTAAGATTCCAAATAACCTCAGTCATTCTAGTTCTTTCCCTTGGAATGGATGGCAGAAACAGTTAGTGATGGAGCAAGGAATGGTGCTACATGGAGAGAAGACATTGGCGGGAGGGGGATGGTTGGTGTGGGAAGGGAAAGAGAAGACCCCTTGGAACAACCCATCCGAAAAATGGAGGGGCACGCTGGAGGGTGTCTGATGGCTGGGATAAGAGGGGGAGTATTGCTTGGTATAAGAAGGGATGGCTCCTAGAATGGAGGTGGGCAGTAAAGGTGCATGAGTCGGGTGGGAGGGTGCATCAGATTGGTAAGTGCAGTTGTCATGTTTTTACAGCTCTCCATAGCACAGACTTACTCCCACTTACTCCTCTGCTGACAACACTTTACCAGACAGGAAGTCTCTGTGCCTTCTTGTCGATTTCCCCCCACTCCCTGCCTGCTGAAATCTCTGTAGAGGAGCCCTAGGAATAATTAAAAAGCAGACAGAAGTTCTATTTTTCCCACACTGCAGCCTAAACTAGAAAACAGTTTTTTGCTTAGTCTGGTGATATGTATGTAAAGATACTGGGAAATACACTGTTCTTTTTTGGCTGAAATTGGAAAAATAATTCTTTATAAAAGGTCAAAAAAAATTGTTGTCCTTAAATCAGACTAGCTGAAAGTAGAAAGTAATGTATTAATCCATCAACTTAAACCAATATCCTTTGTCTACAAAATCATACACTGTAAAATTAATATTTACCCATTCTTCAATCCTCAGCCAAAGACAGTATTTAACATTTTAATCTACTAGCAATAAGCAGCCAATTTTCCAGAACAATTTATGGAAGCTAAGTTAAAATATTTCAAGTTGGAAACAGATCAGTGTTAAAAAAAAAGCTGACTAAGTTGAAACCCATTTTACAAATGTCAAGTATGTACTCAGCCCTTCATTCGGTAACTACTACAAAAGTTGGCAGGCCTCAAAAAAACATTTAACTTACCGAAATATAATCTTACCTGCTTGTCCTCAGTTAACTCCCTTGTAATGTCATACAAAAAACATGCACACTCTTGCCACGACACCTCAGTGTTTCAAAATGGCAAACATGCACCTTCTTGTTAAAGTGGTATTAAAGAAATCAAAATGATGTAGACTTTTAGTATTCATGACATAATGGCATATGCCTGTGCCTGAAGAAGGGTATCGGTGTTGCTGAAGTGTCATTAATTGAGGCTTAAGGGAGTTTTCATGTGTTTTTTCCTAACACTTAAAAATACATGAACATATACTGTGTATGTATGTATGTATATGTATATATATATA